TATGCTAAATCACCCCAAGTTCTGATAGATCCATGTGCTAATGAATTCAACCACATCTTAGTTTTATCCCTCAGTGAGAAAGGAAATAAGCTAAATCTTATGACATCATCTGATACACCATCGTATTTAAATGTAGCGCACAATTCTAGAAAATTGGCAAGATGTAAATTTGGATCTTCAATTGGTGATCCCCCAAACTGATTATTTGATACCATTTGGATAATAACATGTTTAAGCTCAAATGAATTAGCCACTTTAGTAGATTTTTGAATACTACAATGAAGTTCATCTACAGTAAGGTTGACATAATCTCTTAAAGGTCTAAGCTCTTGATGCATTGTCATGAACAAGGAAAGAAACATTAATGTTTGAGAATGTGATTCTACCCTAGAGTTTTTTTTTGGATTTTTCAAGATTTTTATTTGTTTTTATTTTTCTGAATTTTCTAACAGTTCTCTCTAATTCAAAATCGTAGGGCACTAGTCCTTCAAAACCTGAACTACACATACACTAACATAAAATAAAATAAAACTAAACACACACAAAATAAAATACAACACCTTAAAGTTTAAATAATACTTTCTAAAAATAGAAATTTACTTTTAAATCAATAGATTCTTTACAATTTTCACTTCACTTCCTTGGCAATGGCGCCAAAAACTTGATCCCGAAATTGCTTACATGCAACAATATAACAATAATTCTAACTACATTTTTCACTTATATTTCCTTATTTCGCAACAACACCAAAAACTTGATCTTGAACAAAAATAAGAATTTAAATTTTAATTTATATATATTGGGATACTACGCAAGTATACATATTGTTATCAAGTAATATAAGACTTTTTCATTAAGACCTGAATATCGAACCAACAGGGAAGATATGCAATATGCACTTTTTGGAAAACTTTCTATTTTTAAAAAGAGAAGTATTAAAACTAAAGATGTTTTCGCAGTAAAGAAAGTTTAAATATTTTTGGCAATTTTAATATTTTGACAAAAACAGAACAAACTTAAAAAGATAACTTGAGTTTTTGTAGAAGAAAAGTACTAAATATGAAAATATCTTTCTCCTTATCATGAATCAATAA